ATCAGGGCCCTGCCGGCGATGCACTGAACCTACGGTCAGGAGCTTGTGCTCAACGTGTCGCGGCGGCGGCCTCGGCGACACACTCTGCCCTGCAAGCTGATAGCAAATCGCTCCGCTCCGCGGGGCGGGAAGCTGGGAAGAGCTCGGGGCGTTGACGTTTGGAAAATGCGGACGTGGTCAGCGTGTCGCGGCGAACCGTGACGGGCCAGAACCGGCGCCGCGACAAGCTGAACCACAAATACCTGACCGCGTCGCTCCCCTAGTGAAGAGGGGGGGATTGGCGGCGCGCACAATGGGGGAGTGGGAGGGAGGGAAGGCTTCTTGGTAGGCTGCTTTTTGGAAAGCGCCGGCCCTACATCTACAGACAAGGCCCGCGCCTTTTAAGAAACAGCCTCCTTCGAAGAAGCCTTCCCCCGCCTGCCCCACTCTGCGCGCCGCGGAAACAAGCTGAGCCACAATTCCTGGCCGTATCCCTCCCCTGGTGACGAGAAGCAACAATAAGGGGGGACTGGCACAGGGGGGAAACATCGACCTGGAACCGGCGATACATCGCCGACAGTTCGGCGATAAGCACCCGATCGTGACTCCGCACCTTCCAGGGACGGTTGTTGCTACCGGCCCCCTATCGGCGATCAATAGGAGATTAGGGGCCGATGCGCCCCCCCCCTCCCCTATGCCTATCCCCCATGTATCGTTGCCTTTGAGGAGAAGAGCGGGGCAACTGGGCTTTGAGCGTTCCGCCCAGTCCTCTGGGCCCTGCCACGGGTCGGATGCCGCAGTCCGCTTGGCCCCCCGCGTGGCGCGGGGCCGACCAGGCGCGGGCGCAGACGGGGGGGGCTGTCTGGGCAGACCTTCCTCCGTATACTTTCTCGGCTTAAATGCCCCGATACACAACACGGAACCCGTAACGTGTTGACACAGAGCTCAACATGTAGACTGAAAACGTAGGGCTGGCGAGAGACGTTCGCCTAAACGTGGGGCAACACGGTGAGCCGACACGCAACGTGCCAACGCCCAACGTGCCAACATGGTACGTGTTGCGTTTCAAGACGGGCGTATCAGGGCAGCTAGGCTTATTTTTCAGATGTTGCAGAAAGTGCCCCTGCCCCAAGGTGCCCACCGGATCTCCAGGGAGTCCCCCACAGCCTCCAGAGCACCCCTCACGAGGCCCAGAAGGTCCCAGGGGCTCAAGAATTCAGCGAATGATGAAGGCACCTTGAGCACACCCGACCTTCTTCCACCCTCCTCCCCAGTTCATTGATCGCCTCCTTTTGCCCATCTTCCTCTTCCACTCTTACTTGGCAGCCCTGGGGATGAACGTCTACAGTGTCCACAACATACATACAGGGCGCGTCCACTATCGCCCGAAGCATTCCACATCCAAGCCACTCGAACACATGATCGAATGACAACGGGAAAACATGCAACCTTGTCGGGCAGCGTAGCCAGTAATGACCTGGGGGAATAGAAAGCGGCATTTGATTTCCACGAGGATTGATGCACCTAGGACTGAGCGCCCCTCACTGGTAAATGGTCTCAGTGCTTCTGTCGGGCATGTGGCGATATAGCTTGTCAAAGTAAACAGCGGCGGGACCGAAGCGGCCACCCAGGGCGGCCCTTCCTTGGCAGCACGGTCGTGCAACAGCTGGACCGTCTGGCCATTGGCCGCTGGATCCCGATGCTGGTGCTCGAAGGCGGCTCTCTGAAGCACAATGCAAAGAAAAAACCCTTCCTGAAGGCCCGGCACCCAGCAGCCTCGCAGGAGAAACCCAGGGCGCCCTCGCAACCAGTCAGGGTTCGAGGCCCGTGCGGCGCGCCGCCGTACCAGCAGCGAGTGTGCGCGCCCCGACACGCTGCTAAAACACTTCGGCCTTCTCGTGCCGCTGGGGCCTCACCATGGCAGCTCTTGTTTCTGCCTGAGCAGCTGGTTCGTCCTCCGTCGCCACAGAGAACAGACCGACTGCGCCGCAATCGCCAGGCGGCTGGCTGCCGGATGCCTCCCCCCATTCGCGCTCCAGGACTGCCCCGACGGGCCGGCGTGCTCCTGCCGATCGTGGGCTCTGCCTCGGCAAGGCCTTCGGCTTGCGCTGCAGCGCAAAAGCCCTCGAGGCGAACCTCACAGGGTTTCACGACAAAGCGAGTGTGGGACACACCTTTAGGATTCTTGTGCCAGTGGTCCACGACTACGTCGCTGTCAATGTCCAATTGTGCGAAGTGGGGCAAACTGGTCGAGCGGGTTGCTCCGCATCGTCGGCGTCCAGACGGGGAACAAACAGACCTGCACGATGAGCTTGTCCTTGCAAGCGCACGCCATAGGAACGCTTTGCCAGCAATCCTCAGACTCCGCCTGACCTCAGCGGTTCCTCCTCCTCTGCCTCCTCCTCCTTCTTCTCCTCCTCCCTCCTCCTTCTCCTCGTCCTCCTCCTCCTCCTCCTCCTCCTCCTCCTCCTCCTCTCCTCCTCCTCCTCTCCTCCTCCTCCTCCTCCTCCTCCTCCTCCTCCTCCTCCCCTCTCCTCCTCCTCCTCCTCCCCCCTTTCCTTTCACTCCAGATTTCTTCCCCCTCATTCTCGCCTCCTGCCTCCACGCTATTCTTCCCCTGTCTTCCTCCTCCTCCTGCTCCTCTTCCTCCTCCTCCTCCTCCTCCTCCTCCTCCTCCTCTCTCCTCCTCTCCTCTCTCCTCCTCCTCCTCCTCCTCCTCCTCCTCCTCCTCTCCTCCTCCTCCCCCCTTCCTTCACCCTCCAGATTTCTTCCCTCCTCATTCTCGCCTCCTGCCTCCACGCTATTCTTCCCTGTCTTCCTCCTCCCTCCTGCTCCTCTTCCTCCTCCTCCTCCTCCTCCTCCTCCTCCTCCTCCTCCTCCTCCTCCTCCTCCTCCTCCTCCTGATTCTCCTCCTCCTCCTTCCTCCTGATTCTCCTCCTCCTCCTCCTCCTCCTCTTCCTCCTCCTCCTCCTACTTCCCCCCTGCCGCGCTCACAAGGCGGCCCGCTGTCGAGACGCCCCCCTGGCCAGGCTGCCTGGCGGCGGGCGCCTCCATCCCTTGCGGGCAAAATTGATATCCATGACCAGTGCGTCTTGGACTTTCTTGGAAGGGGCGCCACAAGGCCGAGGCGCACCGGATGTGGGCAAGAATCGAGCTACTATGGGCCAGATGGTGATCCATATCCAGTGCGCCTCGGGTTTCTGGGGAAGGGAACCCGAAACTCAAAGCTGCAGTGGATATTGACACAAGTCTTGCCCGTCTCCCTTCCTCCTCCGTACCTTCCAGCCAGCGGCGCGCCAACGCCACGGAGGAATCCGCCTTCGATTCTAACGGGCTAGACCTCTTCCCACGGACTGGCTCGTCATCGTGCGTGTCGTTTTTTTGTTTGACGGGCCCAGGGCCTGGTATAGGGGCTTGCCAACAGCCTTCCGCCGCTTGCTGTTTTTCCGCGACGCGAGGATCTCAGAGCCTCCCCATCCCCTCCCCTTGCGCCTACGGGCCCTCCTCGGCTGGAAGCACCCTGGAAAAGCCCCCGCGCATGCCTTGTGCGAGTCTGCGATCTATACGGGGATTCCGGACGAGGCTCGCGGGACCTCTGGGGCCTGACGCACACACCTGCGCGAGTTGTGGCGGAGCAGCGCATCTTTTGCGATGCCTCACCATTCGTTCCGTAGAAATTTCGGGGAGGTGGCGATTCTGGTACGGAACGAATGGTGACGAAGACCGACATGACTCCCTGTCCGCTTGGAACCAGATTCGCCGTCGGTGTCGCCGCGACCGTTATCCGTTTGAGGCAAAACATCGTCTGCCCGATCTTGTAGCGGCCGATGCCACTTCCAGAAACGTCTGCTGCCGGGCATCGTGCCCGAGTTGTTCGTGTCCATTCCCTGCGCTGCTGTCGCGGCCGGACGGCCGTGACAGCAGCGCGGGCGCCGCCGCCCTTCGCCCGAGTCGCGCGCGGTGCCCGCGGCGAGGGTCTCGGGACGAAGGGGGATTTCGCGCGAGGCTCACGCGACGTCTGGGGCCTCTGGACCATGCCCAGCGCGCCCCTGGGGCCTCGCGCCTCTCGACAGACCTGTGGGGCCTGTCGCGCGAGACTCGCACGACCTCCGGGGCCTCGAGTGAGGCTCGCGCGAGGCTCCCGCGACCATGTCCTGCGCTCAGAGTCAAGGAGCCCGCGCTGCCGTCGCGGCTCGCCAAAGCGCCAGTGCCGCCGTGGACCACGGCGGCGCCGCCCCAGCGGCGAAGTCCGCACGCCGCCCCACACCCCTCGCACGACTCGTTCCCATCCTTCGTGTCAGTTGCCTTGCGGCCCTCGCAGCTGCACGTGAGCCACGAAAGGAGGCGGGTCTCACGCGAGATGTCATAGCGACCTGACGCGGCGGCTTACGCGGGCCGCCAGCGCGGCACGCGACATTGGAAACGAGGGCGCTCACGCGCGACCTTACGCGGGCAACTTACGCGCCAACGTCGGTGAAGACGACTCCGCTTTCTTCAGTCGCTCACATGACTGGGCCCTTCGCCACGATAATTCCCAAGACATCCTGATGTGTGGGGCGTCCACCGCCCCTTCTCGGAGGCGAGCCCGCGGGGGAAGTGAGAAGGGGCGGGCCTTCTCAGAAGGCAAAGGAAGTTCCCCGGCCTTCTGAGAAGTCTCCCGACGCATTCCCCGACGACGCAGCCTTCTAAGAAGGCCTGCTCCTTCGGTGGCGGCCAAGAGGGGGGCGTCCAAGAGGGGGGGGCGCAAATCATGGCGCCGGCCATGCTCGCGGCCCAGGGGGAGAGCCAGGAACGTCATGAGATGAGAAGAGGCGCCATGAAATCTGAAAAAATACCACGGCCCCCGCCATGATATCCCCCCCCCCCTCCTAGTCATCTGGTCATCACCCCCCTCTTTGCCGCCCACGACTCCTTCTCACTTCCCCCCACCCCGGGCTCGCCGCCGAGTTCTGCTGGGCGCCCGCCCCTCCGCCCGAAGCGCGCGCAGGGGCCAAGCGGCGGTGGTGGCCACCGGCGGGAGCCAACCGCACGGCGGCCGCGGCGGCGGCCACGGGCGGGGACCTGCGGCCGGCGGCCTGCGTCGGCGCGGGGCGGCGGCGCGGCGCGGGCTCGTGTCGTGGCGGCTCGGGCTTCGAGGTCGTCGGGGACCTTCTACAGAATCGAAAGGAAGAATCGAAGCAACATCGGACCGACCAAACTCGGGAATCTCTGAGAATCGGCGGGCTTGGAGGGCGCATCGGGCGCCGCGGCCGCTTCAGAGACCTCTCGACACGGCGCACATGAGCATGATGGTCAGACGCAGCGGACGCGTGGCGCTTTGTACAGGCGTTCGGGCGGCCCCAAGGACGCCCATGGCCTCGCCAAGGCAGGAACCCCTGGAATCGACCTTGGGGAAAGAAATGGAGAGGGTGGAGGAGATGAGGGAGGGACGCGTCATCGTTTTTCGAGGTCGCCAGGGATCTTCTTCGGTTCTCGGCGAATTCTCACCCCAGGATGCGTTCCAGCGGATGCGCCTCTGCGAGAACGTTCGGGGGGTGCCTGGATCGTCCCGAACGGCCGCCGGAGACCCGAGTTATGGCCCAGAGACCATTCGGCGTGTTCGTGTCGTGACGACCCCAGCGTTGGTTTCCGACACCGCGCGGTTCGTTCAGCCTTGAACGCTTTCGGCTTTCTGTAAAGGCAGAAAATCCCACCCTCGATCAGCACCCCGACAAGCGAAGCCGTTTAGTAAACGCACCTAAGGAAGGAATCGAACAGGGCAGGGCTGTTTGGTAAACGCTTAGAGCACTTCAGCAAACGCCGGTTGTCGGGGTCTGGGCGGCTTTCCTCCCTTGATTCCGATCGCCAGATTGCTCCACATTGGCCGATTCTGGGCCGCTGGCGGCGTTCCACCTTGAACGCCCGCGGCGGGGTCCGCACCGCATCGCGTCGGCACGACACGGACCTACGCACCGAAAACTGCAGCCCCAAAACGCAAACTCTGCAAGTCTCGTTGTCCTAACTGGTGGTCTAGGACTGGGTCTAACGCAGAGAAGAGAACGCAGGCCCGAAAGAAAAGCAACGGGAGCAGGAGCAGGCTGCTGAAAATAAGAAACATAAGGAAGGGGAAGAGAAGAAACTACATAGACTTGCAAGAAAATGCCCACAGCTTAATCCTGGGATTCATTATCATTAGCGAAGTGAATTCGGACTCTAATTTGGAAGCTCTGTTTCCCCAAGCTGTGGCTGCACTCGGGAATTCTCGCTTCTGCATTCAGATAAGTGGGCCCCGATGGCAGTCCAGCTGGCTCGTCGCCGCCCGTCGCTGCCGTCGCTGCTCTCTGGCAGACTCGTCGCCGCACTTCGCCACCCGTCGCCGCCGTCGCCGCTGGGCCTCAGTGGCGGTCCGGCCAGCTCGTCCCATCACGTCGCCGCGTTGCTTTGAATGGCGCTGCATTGCTATGTATTGCGTTATATTGCGCTGCATGGCTTTGCATCGCTTTGCTTTGCATTATGTTGCATTGCGTTGCATTGCTTTGCATTGCTTTGCATCGCTTCGCATTGCTTTGCACCGCTTTGCATTGCTATCCATGTTTTTGAATTGCTTTGCACTGGTTTGCATTGCATTGCTTTGCGCCGCATAGGTTGCACCACATTGATTGCACCACCTAGGTTGCACCGCGGCACCGCGTACATTGAAAGAGATTGCTGTTTGGGGTCCATGCTGGCTAACATGTCTTCATACATCTTATGGGTGTGGGGAGGGAGAGTGGGCGGAGGATGGATTTGACAACCAGCCTCGAGTTTATTCTTGTCGCTATGACTGACAGGGCCTGGGCGATGACAACATTGGCCATGTGCCCTCAGAAGCCGAGCCAATCCTCAGGATAGATCGGCACCGAGATGAGGTGGTGCCAATCATAGGGGTAAGACTCTGTTTCATGCTGGCAATGGGAAGAGACGTCTGGCCTCACGCAAACTCCCAGGCAACCACAACCATGGGAGGACTCCTCGATATTCTCGGGGCACTGCAGCGCCGTGGTCGCAAACAGTCGCCACGGAACCCAGGAGGAGAAAGGATGGATGGGGAGGGAGAGATGGAGGTAGGATGAGGGACAGTTCGGAGCGGAGGGAGGGGAGAGAGACGGGGGGAAGGGAAGGGAGGGAGGCACCCGCCAGAGGTGGGAAGAGAGGGGAACGATAAGGGGAGTGGAGGGAGGGAGGGAGGGAGGGGATGGGGAGAGATAAATAAGGGAGGAAGGGGGGGGGGGGGAGGAAGGAGGGGGAGGGACAAGGGGAGGAGAGTTTGCAGGGGATGGAGGGGAGAGATGGGGGGGGAAGGGATGAATGGAGGGCGGGAGGGAGGCACTTCCCAGGGGTGGGGCTCGTACGCAGAGCGCACCTTCCCTCGCCGCTCGTCGGTTTGACCTACCTTGCAGTGCAAGGGAGCCTGTTGTTTGAGATCGGCCGCTCCCCCGAAGAACCTCAGCCCTGACTTTCGACCGGCGGGGGAGCAGGAGAAGGATTACAGGCTCGGTGGCCCTGGCAACCCTCGGACTGCACAAGGATGTGGGAGGGAGGAGGTACCAGGCCAGAGGCAGAAGGCGCCAAGGAGCATCTCTGCGCCAAGCAGGCCCTGCCCCGCTCGGAGGAGCAGCCGCCGCCGCCGCTGCTGCAGTACACATGATTCACGCCGCTCGGCCGAAACGCTAGCGACGCCAGGGTTACGGGCTCGATGGAGGCCCAAATCTACGACTGCAAGAGGCATCAGACTCGCGGGTCTCGCATGCCAAGGCCTCCACGGGCCCCACGGTTGCGGATCGGAGCGGGGCGGGGCCGCCGGCTCTTTTTTGCGAGGCTCGAAGGCACAGGCGACGAAACTCGCGGCAAGCGCTGCTTTTTTTGGGTCTTGTCACAGCGAGCCCGCCGCAACGCCGACTTTTTCAAGAAAGTGTGGGTGGATCCCGGGTGGGTCGTCGGCGGGTCGGCGGGCGAATCGTGTGGCGGGTCGCGGGTGGAACGCGAATGGGTCGCGGGTGGATCGCAGGACGGATCGCGGGTGCGTCGCGGGTGGGTCGCGGGGCGGGTTGAGGGTGGGTCGAGGGTGGGTGGCGGGGCGAGGCTGGCGGCAAGACGAAGAAGACGGCAAGACGAAGAAGAAGAATAATAATAATAATAATCAGAAGAAGAAGGAGAAGACGAAAAATAACAACAAGAGTAATAATAGCGACAATAAAACACTAATAATACGAGTACTAATGTTAATAATGAGAGAAACATGGATCCGCACTGGGACCACACTTCAGCGATGCACCCAAGTACAATGTAAGACTGGTCGCCCCCCTCACTCCGATATGTGAAACCGCGCCTCGAGACACAAAATCGAGTGTCCCCTGGCCCTTCGGAGTCATCACCCTCAATTGAGGGGATTGTGCTTGATCTTCAAGGGGCCAGGGGCCCGAGTCCCAGATGATCATCGGATTCTCGCGTCCTCGACCTTCGAGCCTAGATCCACGACTCTCATCCCCTCTCGGCCTCTGCGAGCGAGAAGGGCGAGGAGGGGGATGGCGAGGGAGAGGGGGGCAAGAAGGGCGAAGGGAAGAATCTGGTCGGACGAAAGGGGGGGGAGTAGTAAAGGGGCGGTTAGCGAATCAGCTCATGTAACTGTTTTTTCTGGACCCTCCAGGCGCCTGTAGGCGCCAGTGTGACTCGGAAGCGCGCCCAACGGCGGGGCCGAAACCAGCTATACGTAGCAAATTGCGCGCCCCCCCATCGAGGACGAGGCGATTTTTTTCCAGCGCGCCACAGCTCAAGCTCCAAAGGCCGCGAAGCTGGTCTTGGGCTGCAGGGCAGGTTCTCGCTGTAAGGTGGAGGAGCAGGTGGAGGAGGAGGAGGATGAGGAGGATGAGGATGAGGATGAGGATGAGGATGATGATGATGAGGAGGAGGAGGAGGAGGAGGAGAGGAGGAGAGGAGGAGGAGGGAAGGAGGGGTGGGGGGGGGCGAGAGGGAAGGAGAGGGATGAGGACGAGGAGACCAGACAAGACAAGACATCGCCATGGAGCTCCGAACCGATAACCTCGTGTAATCGACAAAGCTCTGCGCGCTGCTTCGGCAGACAGGTCTCGATCGCAAACGCAAGTGGACAGTCGGTAACCACCCGCGCGGCCGGCGGCCACCCATTTAGGCAGACAGCCTGGGGCCCGGGGGGGGGCGCCTCGGTGGCCCGCGTAAAATCTCCGCACCGTCCCAGACAAACCAAGTAGGACGAACTGCTGCGGCCTCCTCAGGAGAAGGAGGATGAGGAGGAGGAGGTGGAGGAGAAGGAGGAGGAGGAGGAGGAGGAGGGGGAGGAGGAGGAGGAGGAGGAGGAGGAGGAGGAGGAGGAGGAGGAAGGCGAGGAGGGGGACGAGGAGGAATGCCAGTACCATGCTGAGTGCGATTTCTTACACTAATCAACGCAGGACTGCTGCCTTCAGCCACCTGAAGGACCGAGCAGCGCTAGGCGGAGGAGGATGATGAGGGGGAGAAGGAGGAGGAGGAGGACAATGAGGAGGAGGAGGAGGCGGAGGAGGAGGAGGAAGAGGAGGAGGGCGAGGAGGGAGAATGATGATTATGATGATGATGATGATGCTGATGATGATGATGATAATGATGATGATGATGATGATGATGATGATGATGATGATGATGATGATGATGATGATGAGGATGAGGATGAGGATGAGGAT